CATTGAAGGTTTTTTCATAATAGCCTACCCATTTGGATAATGTTATTTTATCCTTGCGAAGATATCAATATAAATAAATGAGTTTATTTTTAATTATCCGCTTTTATAATATCAATGAGAAAGATTGATTATACAAAAGGCAACAGAAAAAAATAATTTAAGAATNNNNTAATAATAAAATAATTCTCTGACAACGAATTACTTGAATGAATTTAATAAAGTTTATAAAATTGTTAAAAAAAAAAATCAATTACTTATCTAATAAAAATAGTCTAGATAATAAAAAAAACAACGGTTATTTTTTAATTATATTATTATAATTGGAAAATATGTATCAGTATAATACATTTAAAAGACTATGAATCGTTAATCGAGTTTCTCGTTACAAATGCATTAATTCCGCTCGTACTGTTCCTCGCAAAGGCACGTCAAAAATGTAGTCGAGAGAAATTACAGCATCTCGCGCCAAATATCGACGATGCATTATTTATTAAAAGATACCGGCGTACGTGATCCGGATCTTAAAGAGGACCGGGCATCATCCATGAAACTTCCGGGCCGTTTCGAGCACATCCGAGCACCATTCTCGAGGAATTTTTTGCTTAGCCGTGTATATTCTCACGATCGCGCCGTCTCTCTTTCTGTCCTCCACCCTCGCTCCCTCATAAAGCCTCGCCTCGGTGACTTCTTATCCTTACGCCTGCCTTAAGCCCACTTTACACTCCAGAAACTTTCTCGTAACCTTCCCCGCCGACGCGTCACGTAATCGCGTAACCCCGCCATCCGCGAAATTTGTTGCCGCCTTTATCACACTGGCACGTACGCGTTTCCCGAAGAAATTTTATTTTCCGCCCTGTAATCGTCCATCGACGGTTTATACGCGGGCGATCGGAGCGCGATGGCTCAAGAATCTACTTTATAACGTCTCCCGCTGGAATGAAGGAGTTATAGCGTTCATACATTCAATCCATAACTGTGGATAAAGCGTATAAAGGTAATGGCGCGTAATTACACGGATCGTTTAGCGTTAAAAATTGTCATTCGATTTCATGCGTTTATTTGAGATGTGTGCTAGTCTGTTAGTATAGATTTCCTTAAGCTTAGAGGCGCAAGTTTGGCGATATCGTAAGCTTGTTAAATTGGCAGGAAGGCTCACATTTATTTTGTTCTCCGCGTGAATTTCAGTTTACATATATAAATTCGGAATGAACGTGTTTTGATCATTACAAACGCGTGAACATTAACTCTTAACTCTGGCCGGTCCGCGTCCCCTCTTTCGCAGTCTTAATTATATGCCGGGTGAATATTCATTTGCGGATTACTTTCATGCAAATTAACGGCGCCACTCCTCGAGCATCGATGGCGCTCGCGGGCGCGAAGTTCCGAAAGTCTTAAAATGAAGCAGTTTGCAAACTTGATACGAACCTAATTACTCCTCACCGGCTTTATCGTCAATAAAACATAGTATACGGCTGCACCGTAACTTCGATTTCGGCCGCTTTAATGAGTCGTAAAAGATGTCGTTGCGAGCTGCGCGCTGGCCGGAACGCTCTCCGGAAGATCGTTATACGTTTTTTTCCCACTCCTTTTTTTTTTCTCGCGAGAGAGGGTCCAGCTCTCGCGTATGTCGGCGCCGTAAAAATTTTAGCGACTGCACGTAGCATGCGGCAGGCTGGAGAGGCGAACATCGAGGCGGCAATTAAGCACGCGAGCACTATCGTTTAGCACCGGCGCTTTATCTCCGTCTGTCGGATACGAGCACGAAAAACGGACGTGGACTAGGCCTGGTGTGGGGTTAACTGTTACCCGGCCATCATCGATCCTACGAAACCCGATATCGCCGCGAAGCGGTGTTACAGTAGATCGCGGGTTTCCTGCCTTCTGTGTTCACGGTGGTTGAATCATGTGAGGTGATCCTCCGAGCAGCACCGAGAACCGTGTCTGTATGAATAGAAATATAAAATTTCCGACCGCGAGACCGATATCGCCGCGAAGCGGTGTTACAGTAGATCGCGGGTTTCCTGCCTTCTGTGTTCACGGTGGTTGAATCATGTGAGGTGATCCTCCGAGCAGCACCGAGAACCGTCGTGTCTGTATGAATAGAAATATAAAATTTCCGACCGCGAGATGTGACGGGAGGACAATGTCACAGCGGACTGCTCGGGACTAGACGACGTGACTTGTCTCCGTCGCGCATTCTCAAATAGATAAAGGGAGACACGACGGTAGCCGTATTTCGTGGCATCCCTTGTATGGAGATTTTAATTGTAAAGTGGAAGAGTAGCGTAGATTTGTCGCACAGTCGGAATAATTCAAAAGATTGTATTCGAATACTCGTTAATACACACACACACACACTCAGATTTCTGAGGTAATCCTCCCTTTTTCTTAGTCGCGAGAACGCAATCACACCTTCTTGTAATCTAGCTCATTCAGAATCGACGAGATGGATCGTGGTGGTCGTCCGTCAACATCCCCGTTGTAAGCGCATCCATCGTTGCTCCTTCATCGAAATGCGCTCTCGGTTCGAGAGAGCGAACGTGTAACTTGTTTTTTACGCACACATTCGAACGGGATTGGAGGAGACTCGTGAAACGTGAGATGCTCTCTTCCGCCGATAGGACCGTTTGCATCTTTTTGCATCGCGAATGAGATCCATTTTCGCAAGGTGTCGCAATGAGATTGTAATCTATACGTCTCGTCGAGTAGTCAGACGGTCGGAGACACCTCTTGAAATAGATCTACAATTTAAAAGCTGCTTAAAGCGGACGTAAGAGTCGTATCGTAAGATGCATGAGTGTGTGTTTTCAATGTACATGATGTTTCAAAATCGTCGCAAGTTTTATTTAGCGGCAAATTTTTAAATTTCTGCTTTCAAGATATGAGCGATTAGAAATGAAAGATTTTTCGCAAATTAAACAAAATATTTAAGTAAATCAAATGCTAATACATTACACGTGATTTAGGTAAATTTTATTTTTATTTTAGTGAATATTAAATTTTCAAATGTAAATACTAATTATAAGATATATCTAATAATAAAAATTAACAAATTGAGAATGCAAAAATTAAAAATAATGATGCTTTAAACTGCTAAAAAAAAAAAGATTGTATATTCAATAAAGAATCTGTAAAGAAAGAAACGAGGGAGTTTTGGGACATCTCGTACAACGAGCATCAATCATTCCGGCTGATCGTCTTTTGCGCGAAGACGGAAGCAAGAATTTGCAGTTACCTCTTTTTCTATCGCGTCAACGACGCTTCGTTCGCTCGCATAGAAGTCGTTTTTCAATTAGGGAAA